TGCTTGGTGATGTGCTGTGACTGTGTGTTGTTGCGATGCTTGGTGATGTGCTGTGACTGTGTGTTGTTGCGATGCTTGGTGATGTGCTGTGACTGTGTGTTGTTGCGATGCTTGGTGATGTGCTGTGACTGTGTGCTGTTGCGATGCTTGGTGATGTGCTGTGACTGTGTGTTGTTGCGATGCTTGGTGATGTGCTGTGACTGTGTGTTGTTGCGATGCTTGGTGATGTGCTGTGACTGTGTGTTGTTGCGATGCTTGGTGATGTGCTGTGACTGTGTGTTGTTGCGATGCTTGGTGATGTGCTGTGACTGTGTGTTGTTGCGATGCTTTGTAATGTGCTGTGACTGTGTGTTGTTGCGACGCTTGGTGATGTGCTGTGACTGTGTGTTGTTACGATGCTTGGTAATGTGCTGTGACTGTGTGTTGTTGCGATGCTTGGTGATGTGCTGTGACTGTGTGCTGTTGACTGTGTGTTGTTGATGCTTGGTGATGTGCTGTGACTGTATGTTGTTGCGATGCTTTGTGATGTGCTGTGACTGTGTGTTGTTGCGATGCTTGGTGATGTGCTGTGACTGTGTGTTGTTGCGACGCTTGGTGATGTGCTGTGACTGTGTGCTGTTGCGATGCTTGGTGATGTGCTGTGACTGTGTGTTGTTGCGATGCTTGGTGATGTGCTGTGACTGTGTGTTGTTACGATGCTTGGTGATGTGCTGTGACTGTGTGTTGTTGCGACGCTTGGTGATGTGCTGTGACTGTGTGTTGTTGCGATGCTTGGTGATGTGCTGTGACTGTGTGCTGTTGCGATGCTTGGTGATGTGCTGTGACTGTGTGTTGTTGCGATGCTTGGTGATGTGCTGTGACTGTGTGTTGTTGCGATGCTTGGTGATGTGCTGTGACTGTGTGTTGTTGCGATGCTTGGTGATGTGCTGTGACTGTGTGCTGTTGCGATGCTTGGTGATGTGCTGTGACTGTGTGCTGTTGCGATGCTTGGTGATGTGCTATAGCTGTTATTGAGCAATAACATAATGTTCACGTAATCATAGCTACAAAAACATGGAATTACTTTTTTGGCATGTTGGAGAGGGTACCAAAACAAACTACTTGAAAATACTTTAATCATTCATTTTATACTGTGATGTATCTATTTCCAAGTATTCATGAGTACATCCTAAAGATATAGTCTAAGTCGTGCAATGAAGTTCTTATGATTGTGTAAACAATCTGGTCTCGTCGCCCCTCCAGTATATATTCATAAACCTGGTAATACTTCCCTTTCCTTAAAATAACTTCATAAGGTAATGTTAGATAAACATAGCGAACTAGTCTGTGGGTCAGAGGGAATCGGCAGCACCACTTTGAGGGACCAGACATCATTGTATATTTCATGTAGGCCAAGCTACCAGTGACACATTTTGATATGATAGACATTGGTAGAGTGCAGCGTTTTCTTCAAATGGCTCTTAGTATCTGCGTGGCCAAAAGTGACGAAAATTAGCCAAACGTCATATTTGAGGTCTGATCATTATATAAACTGTTTTGTGGATGATATAAGCCACTAATAATAAAAAGGGTCTCAAAACGGAACAAACACCATCCTCTTTAGGAGAAAAGCCTACAGACGGAACTCAGATTTCCCGGAAAGTGAAAATCGATGCAACATGTAGACAAAAGAACAGAAGTGGAGGTCAGTGCTTGTCAATCTAGTCCTATCCTTACTATGCATATATAAACATTACATATTTTAACATTTAACATAGAGGCCTATGTAGAAGCGGGTCAATACCATCTCTCTTGTATCTCATCTGTAAACACAACAGCAAACAAGAAGTCAGAGCCAGATATCGAGATAACTGCATTCCCTATCGATTTCAGCGAGCGTGAAATGTGTACCGGGTGGCTGGATGCACTTATATATATATGAACAACACGACTAAAAGTAAAAGCACGCGATAGTGCCGAAACCTAAAGGGAATTCATGTCAATGACCAGATGTAAGTAACATTAACTCGGTGCGCCTAGTGGCAGCAAGAGTTGTATGATCCTCAGGGAGTTGAGATTGATAATGTGATGTGCCGCTGAAACTAACATCCAGTGATCTAGGGAAAAACAAAGCAGCGCTTTGAGCATGCATGTGTTATGGACTATAGCGCTATATAAATACCTATATGATAATGTAACGCTTTAAACAGGGTGAACTATAAATAACTTATCCAAATCCCTCCCACAGACTTACTCATTTGGTACAGACATAAAAGATACATATTTCGTAATGTTGTGATCTATGTTTAAAAATTCATACAACCAAAATCTCTGACAATACCGTATCAGAAGGGTGACTTCAAATTTACTTATATTGTCTATTTCCATAATGCATGTGTGACCATAGGCCCAAATACATAATACAATAATAATATGGGTGATATCAAACAATCATTTTCGCATCTTAAAAGCAACATGAATGAATGCCATTAATTTTGTAAGCACAGAGTGTGAAGTTGTTGACATACGTTTTGGGTTCCTGATCACATAACTTGGTAGAATATCTTTTTTGATGATGTCAAGGGAAGGGCATATCAAAGTAAAATGATAGAGATCTTCGATTTCATATCGATCACAGTGTGGACAGATACGTTGCTCACGGGGCATATTTTATATTCAGTCTCTGTCAATCTGTAGACATTTATGTCCAACTCTTGCAAGAGCAAACTGGCGCGCAAAAGTCCGTAGTGAAGAGTCTAATAGGTATTCTTCAGCATCAAGAGTTGTTTTGTATGTTAAGTATGTATCATATCTTGAGTTGCTGGTTAAAAGGTCATGTCACTGTTGAGAACTGATATCGTTTAAACGCTGTTTAAAGTCCTGAACAAAATATTCCGTAATACCAACATCTTGTGAAGACCAAGCATATCCCATTCCAACATTTTGTAGTAGGGTTCTAATGTCGGAACACCATGTATGTCGACCCACATTGTCCAGATTATACAACATGTCATATAATGTCTTCCCCTTGATATACATGTATACTCTTACAACAATTAGGGCACTTCAGTTTTAATTTACGATTGAAAAAATTGGGAGATATATCGAACTCTATCAATGGTGATATGATAATAATGAATGTTTTGAGAGTGCATCACCACTTGCACTTCCTTAAAACCATAGTTGTTTGTACAGTAATCTCTCTTGAAAGATGATTGGTGTATGACATGAAATTTGCATGTGTACGATTTTCATTTTCAAGCAAAACAAACATTCTAGAAACAAACACTAACAACCTGTGATGCAAAATGATTGTCAAAATTATGGTTTACAGTGATTTATCGACATTCTTGAAAATCGTCAAAATCAAGAATAACACCCCATGCACGTGTATGGGGCTACTGCGTTGTGCACGTGCATCCCATGCGTTGTGTTTAGGGATGGTGATAAAGAGACATGGTGGTGCGTTCATAAGATGCCTGTCTTTGGAAGGTGTGTTAACGCTTATACTTTCTACCCTACCTTTTTTAAAGATTATATTACACTTAAATATATACGTTGACGAGACAACATGTCTGATTTTTCGAAACATTTATTTCAGGCAACAAATTGGCCAGTACAGTTGCTTCATCACAAGACATCACATGTTATCTGTTTACAAGACTTTGATGACATTCGTAATACGAACTCCATCGCCTTCATCGAATGATATTCATCAAATGCTTTACGACACAACATTTTATTACAGTTGATACTTAGCTGACGAACATCCAAAACAAATTAATTTCCTTTAATATACTGTACAGAAGCTTAGCTTCACACAAACTTGCAACATACTGGACAATCAACTTCCATGACTACGTTAAAGAAAATGCACTTATTTATACTGTTAATTTCAGCCACCGAAACCGAGCATATATTCTTTATTCTTAATCGACACCGAAAATTTACTCGGGTTGGAAACAACCAGAATTTTCTGGGCTTAGAAACAATTATTCTTCATAGGCACCGAAAATATACTCGGGTTGAACACTTATATTCTTCATAGACACCAAGAATTTACTCTGGTTGGAAACTATTATTCTTCACACACTCATAATTTACTCGGGTTGAACCCTTTATTCTTCATAGACACCCAGACTTTTACTGGGGTTCGACGCTATTATTCTTCATAGACACCCATAATTTACTCGGGTTGGACACACTTATTCTTCATAGGCACCCATAATTTACTCTGGATGGAAGAGCATTTCAAGATAAATCTCTTGGTTGTAACCCACTACTCTGGGTGGCGACCGACAATATACCTGGGGCTGCTACTTAGTATATGTCATATCTATTGCTGTAAAATTACTTTACAATGAAAACAACAACAAAACAATCAAAATCAGAAAACACACACAAACGCAAAAAAGTAACATCCCTTCCTCGTAAAATATGATAACAATATCAACAAAAACTATAGAAATAACACAACAAACAAAATACACGAACAAAATAAAAACAAAACAAATATAAAACAACAAACCCCCCAAATGATGTTTAACTATTCACAATTATTTTTGGAATAAATTATACGTAGTATACATACATATTTTAGCTTACATTAAAAGTGAAACCTGCGTTAAATCTGGACAGACACTTCCGAGTGAAATCAACCTTATGAACAATTACCGTTTGGACGAACAACACATTAACATGACATGGTGTGCCACGTGTACCTATTCAAATGCTCAAACAGTTGATGGCGCGGATATAATCATGAAAACTGCTGGGAAGAGAAAGTAAATGCTTGATGGTGGCTAAATATGAAACAAACAGCAAATTGTTATTCGATGGTATGCATTTGGTCCCGAAAGTTGTGTTTTGGCGACTTTTTTCAGTAGATTACGTTTTCATCAAGTAAATTTTGGCCAAACCCAGTTTATAAGTCAATTCTTTCTTTTGCCCCATTGACATTATGTCTGAGGCATTCTTTCAAAAGCCGAAAAACAAATGACACAGAAACAATCTTAGTGATTATTTTCTCCTTGATCGTGTATAGAAAAAAGGCTAACAGTTCTGGAAGAATGCAAACGTGTGCCTACACATTGTCAATCTGAGACACATTGCCACCTAAATCAGCCATCACAATTGTCTGCTGCTCTTCTACGGAGGCTCGGTCGTGACGTAAAATACGAGATGTCGAACCTTTACAGGTGATAATGCGTCTTACAAATCTTTTATAGCGACTGTCAAGTAGAAGGAATATGAGAGGGTTGATGGCAGAATTGGCAAACACAAGACAGAATCCAACAATTTTGAAATTATGCCAAAATTCGTTGAAGAGTCCAGGATCAAAGTGATACCATATTAGGAAGATATGTCGAGGTAGCCAACAGAGGATGAAAACCAAAACGAGGCAAAAGACAGTAATGGCAAATGATTTTCTTTTACGGTATTTTTTGTCCTCTTTTTCGACATTAACTAACTGAAAATTATCTCCCTTTAATGGTGTTGATGACGTAGGTTGGGTAGGGGCTGCCTTTGAGATGACATTGAAGAATATAAGAACATAGAAAGGAAGTATGACAGCGAGTGGAATAACGAACAACAAAACAAACCGTACTGCAGTATTGACCTTTGGGTACATTTGCCCCCACGAAGTGGTGTATGCGAGACAATAGCTAAACTTGCGAGACGGGGGTGATTCCACAACAGCAGAAATAAGGTCAGGAATGGAGATGTACAGCGACGTCATCCACACGAACGCCAGGATGACTGCGGGTGAGAAACGTCGCCTTGAAGACCGATGGCGTCCGGAAATGATGATGTACCTTTCAATGCTAAGAATTGTCAATGTCAACACAGATATTGCCGTGCCAAGTGTCTCGGCAAAGTGACTGATTTTACAAATGGCTTCACCATACGGCCATGACAGAAGGTAGTACCAGGTCGCATTGAAAGGCAGTGACACAGATAAAATAACAAGGTCCCCAACTGCAAGGTTGATTACAAAGATATTGTGTGGGGTACCGAAAGTCTTATGTTTTATGAACGAACACAAGAGCAAAATGTTACCAAAGACACCGACGATAAAAATGAGGATAAAGACAAGTGGGACTGCAACAGCTTCTGGTCGGAGTTCGTGATGATCCGTGTCGGAACAGTTGATGTTGCTGAGAGTCTTGTTGCAATCTTCACTCATGCCTTCATCCATCCCCGCGAGCAGCCTTGTTAGCAGAACCTGAAGTATTAAACAGCATTGAACCTTCACTGATCGATGGAATCTTTTAGGTCTGAACAATACCATAAGGATAATAAGGAGTAATTAAATAGTTGTGGCAACTACTTTACTTTTGGAGACATATTATAAGGTAACTTTAATTCTGCATTCCAACGATCATAGAATCTCCAAAACTAAACTTGCGCGAAGTAAAGTTTCAAAGAAATATGATCAGTGTATATATTTACTTTACCTTGTGTCTACGAAAATAGATTATCGATTGCAATGTTTGATGTCAAAACACGCCTCACATATCTTATATCTAAACCTACTTAATCCTAAAAGTCACATGACCATCTCAGTTGCACTTCCTCTTACGGTGAAGTTGGGTGGCTAAATGGTTAAGGCGTTCGTTCGTCATGCGGAAGGCCTAGGTTCGATTTCCGGCATGGGTAGATACAACGTGTCCTCCCCTTTGATATAGCTGGAATATTGCCGAAAGGTTCCTTAAATCCTCAGAGCCATTGACTCGTGTAATGAAGTAGAAATCTAACACGAGTAACCGAGTAGACGGTATCTCGGCCACTAAAACCTGAATGCAAGCAATGATATAGAATGCCCACTCACTCAGTGGAAGCGAGTTCATCATTTGTGTCTCTAACCGAAAATGTGACATAGAACAAGACGGTTCGGTCACAAAGTGTTCTTTTACTGAACCGATATTCTGAACCTGTACATGTGGACATTCGATAGGGACGAAGCGCATATAAGACAACAAACCTAACATCACCACATTTTAAAATAAAGCCCTCGCCAACAAACGGAATCACAAAATATCGAGTTTGCTAAATAACGGAGAGAGCTAAACGTAAGGTAGTTCTAATGAAGTCAAAAAAGGATATTTCGGCGATATGGAACACGACTCACAACAACTGCGAAGTGCGCTTTTCAAGACATTTTACGTATAAATACAACCCAATGGGGTTTCATAAGATGGTTGCGATCAAGGTAAGGAACGGTAGTCAGCGGACTGTGAGAGGCCACCACAACCAGACACTCCTCAATCAGCAAACAGTCAAATATAACAAATGATATCTCCCAAAGTCAAATGGCAGAATCCAACGATCCAATGCCATTACATGAAAATTAGATGTAAAATACCCTCAATGACTGTCATTGTTTCATGTAAATTATTATGATATGGCATAACATGCACATACGTTCACATCCATTCCTTTCGTGAACACTTGGTTTAATCACTATTTGATAGTGATATATGTACACATACGCATGATGTAGTTGAAACAGTACAGTCGAATCTTCTATCAGCAGAGGTTCCTTGTTGTGGATATATTTTTTAGACTTACATATTGCATTGTATACTGTTACAGTTGGGAGCAAGTACCCTTCTCCACACAATTGTAAAAATAGCTGTTTAAAGTATTCAAGTAAAACGCAAGTCATCGTTATACATTTCGCTAAATAATGCATTAGGATGGGGAGATATAACATGATAGATTGTTTTTGTTTGACATCAGAAATCGTATAATTGTAATCGCTTAAAAGGGAGAAGTTATAAAACTAAACATTCAAGATCTGAAGTTGTCAGAGGATGACATGGGGAGCGATAACGATGCTTGAAATCTGCAATCTCAAACTCACAATATGTATTGCCTCATTTAGAACCGACTAAAGCTTAGTCGGGCAGGAAGTTTTGCTCGCTTAAAAATCAATCACTTAGGGCATTTAAATTAAGGGAAGGTGAGCACCTTATGCATCTAAAATAAAGCCGATGCAAACCAATTCTAGAAAATATCCGAGTTGCTGTATGGCGTGTTTGAACTATTTGTAAACCGAATGGAGGTATGTGCTGCAATCGTTGGGTTTAAACACGTTGTTAAATGGAATTCTGTTTGCTGGGCGTAACCTTCCTGATATCGTGTGGGTGATGGTGATATAGAGTCGGATGTTATGGCGCATTCATGGTTAGGAGTGTTCGGTTGTAGCGTCTGAGGTATGTATGTGGGGTTGTGCTTTTAATTCATCTATCACAAAAAGAGAAGGATTGACCTGACGGAAAACATTTCATTCTTACTTAATTTACCGGCAGAAATATTCCCGATCCAAATGGGATCGCATACAGAAGTCGATGGGATTTGCTACATATCCTTTCATTCGTGTTTAAGACTTCAAGGAAATCCCCAATCTAAAGAGTAAAACGCATCGGTTCTTGGTTCATGGCGACAAAAACTCAATTGCAGAAGACATGATGTAAAGTCACCTGCTATCAGTAACTCAGAACTATAATTGGATCAAAGGCAGGCTGTTTGATTGTAACTGATGCAAACAGATGGCTACTCATCCACTCACGGGAGATGCTTTTCAAACTACTGTCAGATTATTTTAAGGTAGTTTTATCTGATTTCACATTTCTCCCTTAACACCACTGTCAAGATTGTAAGTAGGTTGTTTTGTGAGAGGTTAACATGTTAATCAAGTCGAGCAAAGACGTCTTAAGAGTTGAATCTGTGCAATGGGTGAGCATGAGGGTGGGGTGAAAGAGCGTGGAGAGGCGAGGAAAGACAGGGGCTGGAATAAAAGTGAGGTTGAGGATGAGGATGATGCGGAGGATGAGTGTGAGGGAGAGGGTGTAGGGGCTGGGGTTAGGATGAAGGTGGGGGCTGGGGCCAGGGTGAAGGTGGGGTCTGGGGTCAGGTAGAGGGTGAAGAGAGGGTGGGGCTGGGGTCAGGGAGAGTGTAGGGGGCTTGGGTGAGGGGTGAGGGTGAGGGTGAGGGAGAGGGTTAAGGAAAGTGTGGGGGCGGGGACAGGGGAGCGTGAGGGTGAGGGAGAGTGTGGGGGCTGGGGTCAGGGAGAGTGTGGTGGATGGGGTCAGGAAGATGGTGAGGGAGAGGGTGTGGGTGTGGGTGAGGGTGAGGAAGAGGGTGGGGGATGGGGTCAGGGAGAGGGTGATGTGATGCTTAAAAATTGAGTGTGTGTACAGAGGTAGTCTTTTGTATGTGAGTCTTAAATAGTGTGTTTATGTGTGTGTGTGTGTGTGTTTGTGCCTAAGGCTTGAAGGTGTGAACGGAAGTGCGACCCTGCAGGTTGGAGGTGTGACAACAGTAACGTGGTACTTTTCGGTAGGCTGTGTTTTTAAAGGTGTTCGTGTCTGTGCGCGCACATGTGTTTATAATGCGTGAGTGTGGCAGCGATATTCAGTTGAGATATTGTGCGGATCCATGAGTATGCAGATCGCTATTGTTCAGGTGTAGCTTTGCGGTTTGACGTTGCAAGTGTGTACGCATTTATATATTTAATCAGTAGGTACACATGTACGAAGCGTGAGTTTGTTGGAGTGTTGAGATACATGTATGTTGGGAACGCGCACTGGTGACAAAACAATATGTGAAATCCTGGACTTCCTTCATTTACATAAAGTTCGGGGTAAGCAAGATATATGATATTGATTCAATAAAGGCAAAACCTCCAAAACCCAAAACATTTCTATTCACAGCTCTTCGTCGATTTCATGTTTGGAATTTGGCATTAATATTCATCACAAAATACTCCCCACCAGACAGAAACATGCAACTTTATGGATGACAACTTCTTGTATCCTTCATTTTTGACTCACCAACTTCTATAATGATGATCAAACAGTTTTCCAGAAGACTGTATGACATGAGGGATGATTTTCAACATTCATCTTTTCCTTTATGTCGAGTTATATACCACCAAGTTGCATGCTGTTTCTTTGCGTGTGCCAATGTTATGCTGGTCTAAAACGACACAACTGGTCTGTGAAAGGTGCACGCAAGCATGCTGGCTGTTTCTATAAAGATTATACAGGTATGCGTCGTATGCCGTATGTGGAAGGTAATGTTGCTCTGAAGGTATGCTGGTCTAAAACGTACGTGAAAGGTAATGTTGTACTGAAGGTATGCTGGTCTGTATGTGAAAGGTAATGTTGCTGAAGGTATGTGGAACGTGGTAATGTTGTACTGAAGGTATGCTGGTCTAGAGCGTATGTGAAAGGTAATGTTGTACTGAAGGTATGCTGGTCTAGAGCGTATTGAAAGGTAATGGTGCTCTGAAGGTAGGCTGGTCTGAAGGTATGCTGGTCTAGAGCGTATGTGTAATGTTGTAAGTATGTAATGTTGTATGTGAAGGTATGCTAGTCTAGAGCGTATGTGAAAGGTAATGTTGTACTGAAGGTATGCTGGTCTGAAGGTATGCTTGTCTACGTATGTGAAAGTAATGTTGTAATGTTGTACTGAAGGTATGCTGGTCTAGAGCGTAGTGAAAAGTAATGTTGTGAAAGGTAATGTGAAAGGTAATGTTGTACTGAAGGTACTAGAAGGTAATGCTGGTCTAGTAAAGATGTTGCTTGCTCTGAAGGTATGTGAAAGGTAATGTTGTACTGAAGGTATGCTGGTCTAAAACGTATGTGAAAGATAATGTTGTACTGAAGGTATGCTGGTCTAGAGCGTATGTGAAAGGTAATGTTGTACTGAAGGTATGCTGGTCTAGAGCGTATGTGAAAGGGAATGCTGGTCTAGAGCGTAATGTGAAGGTAATGTTGCTCTGAAGGTATGCTGGTCTAGAGCGTATGTGAAAGGTAATGTTGTACTGAAGGTATGCTGGTCTAGAGCGTATGTGAAAGGTAAATGAAGGTATGCTGGTGTGAAATGCTGATCTAGATGAAGTATGTGAAATGCTGGTCTGAAGGTATGCTATCTAGAGAGTATGTGAAAGGTAATGTTGCTCTGAAGGTATGCTGAGTGAAATGTAATGTTGTGAAGGTATGTGAATGTTGTGAAGGTATGCTGGTCTAGAGCGTATGTGAAAAATGTTGTATTGAAGGTATGCTGGTCTAGAGCGTATATGTACTGAAGGTATGCTGGTCTAGAGCGTATGTGAAAGGTAATGTTGTATTGAAGGTATGCTGGTCTAGAGCGTATGTGAAAGGTAATGTTGTACTGAAGGTATGCTGG